CCATTAACCAGTCCTAGCTAAAGCGCCTAGTCTTTTCACTGCCTGTATCACCTGTCGTCCGTTGGTTGCTCGAGCGGGCGCCAGCAACGTCTCCATTCGTCCCTGTCGCGTGCTAGAGTGGTCCAGTGGATCCTCCGCTCGAGGGACACGAAGTCCTTCATTCCTTTCGTTCAGAGCTTTCGTGAAGAAGTCTGACCATCGGGCCGGCGGTCGTCCAGGTGTTCGTTTGACGTCCCGAGGGATCCAGTCGGTAACCGCTCTGGTCCAACGGTCATCGCAAAATCGCATGACGTGTCCGGCCCACCTTATCTTCGATTCCTTGGCGAAAACGGCAGCGTCCCTGATCTAGTTCGGCACTCCGGATTCCCCTCTGCACTTGCGTGTATAGGGTTACTCCTAGCATCGTCCTCTCGACAGCGCGTTGGATAACGCTGACCGCATGCTCGTCCTGCCTGCGCAGAGTCCAAGTCTCTGAGGCGTAGGTTAGGGCAGGAAGGACAGCGGAATCGAAGAGGTGGGCACGGAGCCGGATGTTCTTCGTCTTCTTCGCCTAGTCTTTGAGGCTTCACAAAGACGCCATACGTCCGAAGCCCGACTAAAAGGGCTTGTGAATTTTTGCGCCATCTCTGCAACTTTCGTGGAGAGAGCCCTCCCTGTGAGCAGTTTGGAATTGGAGAGAGGGAAATACAAAAGAAGGCGTTGTGCTTATCGCTGTTGTCAACACATGGTGATTTGTGGCACGGATATAGGAGACTAAAAGGTTCTAGTGGCTTACAATTACAAGTTTGGCTGCAGTTTGCAGTCGAACTCTTAGACATCTGTGCACCGTTAATATGGCAGTGGTAAGCTTCCTCTCCTCGGTAGTCAAGTTCAGATCTCACCTTGACCATGAGAAGAAGTCGCCCATGTAACTCCGCCTCATTCCTTTCATAACGGCGCTCAGCATTGGCTGGCAGGAGTCTTGCTATTGTTTCTGTGCTGTAATCAGTCATGGTCTTTCCACTGCAAGAATTCTCACTGAAATTCCATTTCAGGTATTGTAGCCGTACTTTGGTGCAGAACGCCTTATATTACGCACGCAGATCATGGCAACCTCACAACGCGATAACTTCATTGGAATCGGCATAGTTGGAGGAGTAAGTTGAATGCTTTGACCGATAACCGAATCTCTTTCCGTGACTTGATTGAATCCCTCCAAAGATTCTGGTGGTCCAGTTTTATCTTGATTTCTTCAACTCCATATTCTAATTATGTATAAGTAAATTTTTTAAGCATGGATCGCGAAAATTCTGAGGGGTACAGAGGAACGATAGAGTGGGCAAACCATCCTAAGTAAAGCGCGTGCAAACGAGAGTGCACCTGTAAACTGGCATTCAGCCCCACTGCCTGTGATCAACAAATTTCCGAACAAAGTCAAAAGTAAATCTCAGAGTTACTAACAATGTTAACGAATATACCGCCGCACATCGTATGCTCTTTTCTGCCAGACCGTAGAAAGGATGAGTTATCAGTCACGATAAATGGTCACGGTCATGGTCACGATAAATCCTATGGGGACGATAAGGAAAGCTACGTAGTGGATTGGGTAAAGGCTCCTACCAAACAGGACGAAAGGTTGCGCTTCAGGGGCAGTGGTGTCCTACCAACGGCGTGACAAGGCACCCAAAACTCACGATTATTCCTCTGCTACTGCTCTTAGAGGATGCCCCGTACCCAGCAATAGCGCCTGATTCCAAACCCATTGATATTGGGACCACAGTCAGTATAAAAGCTACCTTACTCTACCGCAGGAGCCACAGCATTCCTTTTCAAAGGCAGAATTTCCCATGTAAAGGCAGCCCATTGGCGTTCAAGGTAGAGGTGGTCAGTGATGCAGAGATGAAGACAAAATCATGAGAAATGGCCTAAAACCTGAGAAATGGGACTTATTTATGGTTGATTTCCGCATTGATGTCGTCGGTGCCGTCCTCTTCAACGCTAATGTTCTTCCTGCTAAACACCCAGAGTCAGAGGGTGATGAGAGTCGCAGCGCGGGGAGCTGGATGGCCCTGCTGACCGCTGGGGCATACTCTTCGTTGTGAAACGCGCATCGTCCTGTGCCCTTAGGGGCCGCCTAGCATTCGACTTGGTATATTTCCCTTCTTCCGCCTCCGACCTCATAGTGAAATCTCCTCCTTTGAAGGCAGAAAGTTTACAATGGAAAGCTAGCTCATTATGGGTGATCAGTAGAGCAGGGATGAAGAAGAAACCATGTGAAACGGAAGAACCCGAGAAATGGGACCCCTTCCTTGCCCGTTGATTTGCGCATTGATGCGACTCTCATCGCTGTGCCCTCTTCAACACTACGCTCTCTCTGCTATCTAATCACTCGCCACGTATAGACCTGCGGCGAGATAGTCGGTGGGCGTACCCGCCAACCGCGCCAAGAGTGAGCCATGCTAGATCGCCGAGGTCAAATCTTTCGCTGCCAATTGCGCGTCGGTCAGCACCCTCAGGTCCGCCTGTCTCCCAACTATGCAATTTCCCCTTCTTTGACCTTCGTTCTTATCGTGAATTCCTCCTTTAACCCAGGAGGCGTGACGGTGTAGAAAACGTATTCGACGAATCCCAGAGGTCGGGTGTCCTATTCATTGACTTGTTCTGCATTTGAATGACGCGCTTTATTCAGCCGATAATAGGACCCAGCGAGAGTTAAAAATTTGAAGACAAAAAAACAAACTAACTAAAAACATATATAAACTCTACAAAGCAATAAGTCCTAGAAAAACTTAGCACCGAGCTCTACTAAAGGGGGTGCTGGCGCCAACAGGTAATCTCTGGCAAGCACAGTTATAGTTGCGTGGTCGTGAGTTAGGAAACTTCTTCACATGGGCGCTATCGCAATCTACGGGGGCATTGTGATGACAAAGCATCGAAAACCGCGTGAAAAAATGTCTTTTTTGTTTGAAAAGGGACTAACAAGGGAGGTCTTTCAGGGCAAGCCACGCTTTTTCAAAACGGTTTTTTGCATATTGTAGGGACGCATGTAGGGAACACAAAACCATGTTTCATTTTCGCTGAACGGTTTTAGCAGTACCAAAAAAGAAGCATAAGGTACTGTTAATGGTTCGATCCCCCGTGGCGACTAAATTTTGCATTTGGGTTGGCGCCTACGGTTTGGTGCCAAATCGCGCTAAATGTCAAAATCAGATGTCATATTCATCGTCAGGACCATTTTGAAGCCAACAAGTGGCCGCCAACCTTGATTGCAAAATTTAGTCGCCGCGGGGGATCGAACCATCAAGGTATCATTCACCACTTTTTTGATACTACTAAAACCGTTCAGCGAAAACGAAACATGGTTTTGTGGTCCATACATGCGTCCCTACAATATGCAGAAACCGTTTCCGAAAAAGCGCGGGTTGCCCTGAAAGACCTCCCCCCAGTAACCATAGGGTAGGAATTAGAGACTCGAAATTGCGTAAGGTACTTCCATTCCCCGGGGAGCTCCTACCCCTTTAAGGCTCAGTCCTAGAAGATGTCCCCGTATACTGCGATAGCGCCTTCACTTGTGCTCAGATTCTAAGTGTTTGCACCGTGTTTCACTACTAGCCAGAATTCGATAATATGTTAGTCAAACATAGGTGGTTAGTGGGACAGAGTCTGTCTTCCTAGAGCCATCGGCCAGTCATTCTCCAAATCATGGAGCTAAGTTGTGCGCATGGCTCATCCTGAGGAACCCGTTCGAACGTTATTTACAAACGATTTTTGACATCTTGCATTTTCAGGTCGGTTTGCTCGGCTTACTCTGCAATGGTCTGGCCATGTTAGTACTCATTAAAGGCGGCAAAATGTCGCACTCATTCCAGCAGCTCTGCTTCTCGCACTGCACCGCAAATATCATCTGCCTGGCATTTTTTGTATTCTACTGCACTCCAATGATCATACTGTAAGTTTTGGCATTTCGAGTACGGAGCGTGCGACTATTCCAAGTGCATCGGTGTCTGCGTCTCGTCCGTCCTCTTTGTTCTCTCCTGTGCCAGTTTGTTCTGCCACATCAGTGCCTGGCGTTCCTTCGAACATAACTTCCCATACCATACAACCATGAAAATGACCAAGCAGACGTTTTTTCGCGAATATTTCCAGTAGGATTACTCATAGTTACGATGGAAACCATGCTTGTTATGGTGTTGTCGTTTTCACGATGTTTTCGGGACGTCAATCCAGGTGCACATTATGATTGTTGTGGTTCACTTACCGCTTTCGCGACAGTAACTCGCTATGCGAAGGTGTTGATCTGTGAATATTTGGATCATAGGCGAGCCAACCAGCGCTTTTGCTTCCCATGTATCGTGCTTATCCAGTACGCTATCCTGAACTTGAAATTCCTCAGCCTTCAGTGATGCACTTATCACATCTTCTCAGCTTACACATGGTGGGGAGTATCGCAGACTTAAAGGCATATCCCATGACCGAATTGGT